AAACTTGCGAATGATCAAAGTACAGGTACCCATGGACAAAAGATACACGAAAGTTGTATCTCCCCGACCCAGTGCAATATATCCGGTTAGAATCAAAGCTCACGTGTCCCTTATTTGAGGGACCAGATCTGCCGTAAATTCGGGATGGGATTTAGAAAAAAATAAAATGGGACTTTTAGGGTGTATTTTGGCGTCATTTTCGGACATTTCAATCATTCCTGAATGATGCGTGAATTGAATGAACTATGACCCGTACAATCTCGATTTGCATATTGTCAATCAAAGGTCCTGTTATTTGGTTACTCATGCAAATTAGGCAATTGGACATAAACATTGCCACGTGTGAGTGTTTTTTTATTTTTAACCAGAAAATAAACAGCAATTTTAACGGTGTTCCAATAAGAATTCATTGGTCAAATTTTCACAGAATGTTCTTTAGATAAAAATCTATATAAAAAACGAAAAAAACTATTTTTGATTGAAATTCACAAATAAACTGCATCTCTACCTTAATACTATTTTTAAATAATAATTGTACTAGTATTTCAAAAATATAAGTTTGTATACACATTTTGTTCTCAGTTGACTGAACCAGTACCCAATAAACAGTTATAATTAAATTAATATAGACATTACATGTTACATAGTGTCATTCGAATATTACAAATATTACAACACTGAGTATATATCTACTTTAACTGTTTTATTGGCATTTGATAATATATAATTGTTTGTTATTATGTGTGTTGTATGTAAATAAATAAGACATTGTTATACATTACCATAATCTCAGCAAAGTCAGGAGTAGCATGCTGAAATGGCGTGCTTGGAACAACATCTTTTGGTATCAAGAATTCATCAATGACTTTTTGGTTTGGAAATCCATCAATTTTTAATGCTTTGCTGTAAAGGAAATTAAATTGAAATTAATTTCATCATAGCTGATGATTGTTATGAAAGAAAATAGTTGAGAGAAAACAATTTAGTGCGTACTGATGGAGCCTAGGTTTGGAAGAAAGAAATAAAAATTCCTGAACAATTCTTAATGTGGACTATGAACCTACAAACTATATAAAGAAGTAATTTGAACACTGATTAACAGTATATGAAATATTTTCCAACAAAATGAGAATTGTAGATATTGTCATAATATTCAAATGAATAAGCCTGAACAGGGATAATCAAGCATAACACACACTAAAATGATTTTATAAAATATTTTGATGAAAAATTACTAAAAATTATGTTTGATGAATACTGAGCAATAATAGGTATCAGTCAAAATGGTCACTTAATTGTTGCTTCTATTAATTATGCAAGTTCTTGGTGTACCATTTAATTTTCTCTTCAAGAGTCAGTTTCCTTTTCTTTTTTCTCCTTTTTCTCTTGATCGACCTGCCATCATCATCCTCATCTGATGTAACAATTTGATTAGGATCATCATCTTGACTTTTCTCCTGGGTCCATTCATGAAATCTTCAAACATAATAAAATACATAACATTAACTTAAGTTAGATTGGTTATAATTGTGTGGTTTTATGTGACGTCAAGTTTAAAATAAAAAGGGTGCTTGTTAAATAGTAAATTTGTAAAAATAAATGGCATTTGGTTTATAGTTTCAATTCCCCTTCACTGCATGAGTTGTTGACACATGTTGTTCAAATTGAGCAAGGTATAGAGCAAGGCTTCAGCTGTTAAAGTATTTTTTTACTGTTATGCGCATGTCCACAAAAGTGCAATGCTGCCAATTGACAGTACAATGTCAGCAATCATTTACATAATAGTTTCTATATACTCAAACATTTAACATAGATTGTTTAATGATGGATATTAAAAAATGGTAACACCGGGTAGTAAACAATCATTATTTTTGGAGGGTACCATATTTTTGACTGAAAAATGTCAACAATCATTTATAATTTACATATTAGTTTCTATATACTCAAACATTTAACATAGATTGCTTAATGATGCGTATTAAAAAACAAGCAGCCTCTCGGCTGAGATAGCTTCGCTGTTATCAATGCACATTTCAATTAAAGAACAGAAGATATCATTAGAAAATGAACAATATGTATAGTATCAAAACAATCAGACTTGCGGTTTTCAACAAGAAGTAGAAAATATCACTTTTTACCAAAAATTACAAAAATATTCATCAAAATTAGAGAATTGAAGATATCATCATGAAATGAACAAATCTGAGTTAGAACCACATGTAGTTACCTATA